TCCCCGGGATAATCCTAGCAAAGACAAACATTTGATAAGAAAAGGCCTTAAAAACTAAGCTGTTTTAAATAGTTTTATTACCTGAAAACAAAAGATACTTTATATTACCAAAAGATTTATGAACACTGTAGTTTACTTGCTGACCTGTGCTAGACAGGTTCTGCTATCCATTCTATGTTTAACCAGTTATGAGGTGGTCTTCATTTAAGTCAGGTCACATAGAGCACTGTTGCCTTAGTCATTAGTGGAGAATACCACTAGTGATAGTAAGTTGTATCAATAGGTTATAAATGTTGTTAGGTAAGACACATATGCAACAGTTAGGTATCTTTATTATGATACCTAACTGTTGCATATGTGTCTTACCTAACAACCTGTCGGTATTTTATACCATTTTAAGGTTATAAATGTTTTGAAGAAATTCCTGCATCCTGTCAGATACAACAACATCTTGGGATTTTGATAAGAACATAAGAACATAAGAAAGAAGGAACACTGCAACAGGCCTACTGACCCATGCGGAGCAGGTCCATGCCCCCCCCGGATTAGCCCAATGACCCCCCCCCGGATTAGCCCAATGACCCCCCCCGGATTAGCCCAATGACCCACCCAGTCTGGTCACATCCACTCAAGGAAGAAGCACGGCCCCAGACCCACCAGCACAAGCTAGTCAGGTCCAACTCACACCCATTCATATATTTATCTAACCTATTTTTAAAACTACACAAATAATATTGTTGCAGTAATAACACCAGGAGGCAGCTCTGATGAAAACTCACACTCACGCGAGCTTTTAAATCTCTGCACAAAATTCAATTTAAACCAGCAAATAATAGAGCCTACTAGACTGGAGAATACACTAGACCTCATCTTCACTAACAATGATGATCTGATAAGAAATGTCACCATATCAAAAACAATATACTCAGATCACAACATAATTGAGGTTCAGACATGTATGCGTTGAGCCCCAGACCGACAAAATGAGACTAGTCACGAGGGAGCATTCACCAAATTCAACTTCAATAACAAAAACATAAAGTGGGACCAAGTAAACCAAGTCCTAACCGATATAAGCTGGGAAGATATACTAAGCAACACAGACCCAAACTTATGCCTAGAACAGATTAACTCGGTGGCACTCGATGTATGCACAAGGCTTTTCCTCTAAGAAAAAGGAGGAGTAGATGTAAAATAGAAAGAGACAGGCGCTCCCTTTACAGGCGACGGAAAAGAATAACAGAGCGGCTAAAAGAGGTCAATATATCTGAAATGCGCAGGGAGACACTGGTCAGAGAAATAGCAAGCATCGAACTTAAGCTAAAAGAATCCTTTAGGAGTCAGGAATCGCGGGAAGAACTAAAGCCATAAATGAAATCGAAAGAAACCCAAAGTATTTCTTCTCCTATGCCAAATCAAAATCGAGAACAACGTCCAGTATTGGGCCCCTACTTAAACAAGATGGGTCCTACACAGATGACAGCAAGGAAATGAGTGAGCTACTCAAGTCCCAATATGACTCAGTTTTTAGCAAGCCGCTAACCAGACTGAGAGTCGAAGATCAAAATGAATTTTTTATGAGAGAGCCACAAAATTTGATTAACACAAGCCTATCCGATGTTATCTGACGCCAAATGACTTCGAACAGGCGATAAATGACATGCCCATGCACTCTGCCCCAGGGCCAGACTCATGGAACTCTGTGTTCATCAAGAACTGCAAGAAGCCCCTATCACGAGCCTTTTCCATCCTATGGAGAGGGAGCATGGACACGGGGGTCGTCCCTCAGTTACTAAAAACAACAGACCATAGCCCCACTCCACAAAGGGGGCAGTAAAGCAACAGCAAAGAACTACAAACCAATAGCACTAACACCCATATCATAAAAATCTTTGAAAGGGTCCTAAGAAGCAAGATCACCACCCATCTAGAAACCCATCAGTTACACAACCCAGGGCAACATGGGTTTAGAACAGGTCGCTCCTGTCTGTCTCAACTACTGGATCACTACGACAAGGTCCTTAATGCACTAGAAGACAAAAAGAATGCAGATGTAATATATACAGACTTTGCAAAAGCCTTCGACAAGTGTGACCATGGCGTAATAGCGCACAAAATGCGCGCTAAAGGAATAACAGGAAAAGTCGGTCGATGGATCTATAATTTCCTCACTAACAGAACACAGAGAGTAGTCGTCAACAGAGTAAAGTCCGAGGCAGCTACGGTGAAAAGCTCTGTTCCACAAGGCACAGTACTAGCTCCCATCTTGTTCCTCATCCTCATATCCGACATAGACAAGGATGTCAGACACAGCACCGTGTCTTCCTTTGCAGATGACAACCGAATCTGCATGACAGTGTCTTCCATTGCAGACACTGCAAGGCTCCAGGCGGACATCAACCAAATCTTTCAGTGGGCTGCAGAAAAAAATATGAAGTTCAACGATGAGAAATTTCAATTACTCAGATATGGTAAACATGAGGAAATTAAATCTTCATCAGAGTACAAACAAATTCTGGCCACAAAATAGAGCGAAACACCAACGTCAAAGACCTGGGAGTGATTATGTCGGAGGATCTCACCTTCAAGGACCATAACATTGTATCAATCGCATCTGCTAGAAAAATGACAGGATGGATAATGAGAACCTTCAAAACTAGGAGGCCAAGCCCATGATGACACTCTTCAGGTCACTTGTTCTATCTAGGCTGGAATATTGCTGCACTCTAACAGCACCTTTCAAGGCAGGTGAAATTGCCGACCTAGAAAATGTACAGAGAACTTTCACGGCGCGCATAACGGAGATAAAACACCTCAATTACTGGGAGCGCTTGAGGTTTCTAAACCTGTATTCCCTGGAACGCAGGAGGGAGAGATACATGATTATATACACCTGGAAAATCCTAGAGGGACTAGTACCGAACTTGCACACGAAAATCACTCACTACGAAAGCAAAAGACTTGGCAGACGATGCACCATCCCCCCAATGAAAAGCAGGGGTGTCACTAGCACGTTAAGAGACCATACAATAAGTGTCAGGGGCCCGAGACTGTTCAACTGCCTCCCAGCATACATAAGGGGGATTACCAACAGACCCCTGGCAGTCTTCAAGCTGGCACTGGACAAGCACCTAAAGTCAGTTCCTGATCAGCCGGGCTGTGGCTCGTACGTTGGTTTGCGTGCAGCCAGCAGCAACAGCCTGGTTGATCAGGCGCTGATCCACCAGGAGGCCTGGTCACAGACCGGGCCGCGGGGGCGTTGACCCCCGAAACTCTCTCCAGGTAAACTCCAGGAATAACTGTACTCGGGAGTTTGTTCCACTCATCCACAACTCTATTACCAAACCAGTGCTTTCCTATATCCTTCCTGAATCTGAATTTTTCCAACTTGAAACCATTGCTGCGAGTCCTGTCTTGGCTGGAAATTTTCAGCACGGAATTTCTTCAGTATTTGTCTGACCTATTGACCTATTGACCAAATACTATTGCTTTAGCATTGGCCTACATTCAGGGCATTTCCTTCATTTCCTTCTTAATATATTAAGACTCTTCTGCCCTATAGGCCTATTATAGATGAGGAGGATGACTGCATGAAGAAACTTACCAACTAACGACCTCCTCCTTGTGTACAACATAACCAAAATGCTTTTCAGATTATTTTCCACGAAATTCTTCGTCCAGTAATCTTAGCTTAAATCTGGATAATGTGAGATTTGTAAACAATCACCTAAACAGATTTAATAAGGTTACCAGTGAAATCGCAGGTTGTTTAGCCCAATACCTCAAATTTTAAACCAAGTTCGATCATAGCACTTATGATAAATGCTAATAACAAAACTCGCAAAGAGTTTAAGTGAAATGAGCTGGAACATTTAACAGCTAATAAACGAATGGAAATGAAACGCTAAATAACTTTTTCCATTATCAGATCGTCTAGGGCAGTTGCCGAATTAAGTTTCTGTAAAAAAATGCAGTGAAATGTAATGAACCTCTCATTTTGAATCAGCGGACTACAGGCTAATGAATCATAACCTTATTAACAATAGATGAAAAACAAAATACCGAAGAATACAGATTCTTGAAGAAAGTTTCTTGGTAAGAAAGGTTAAGAGTACATTTCACTGTCACAAACTGTTAAAAGTCTTTAGATCTTCAATCTTCACTAACCTGGAGAATGTACAGAGAACTTTCACGACACATATAAGTATGTTAAACCACATGAATTACTGGGAACGGTCGAAGTCCCTTGATTTGTATTCCTTGGAACGCAGACGAGAAAGGTACATGATAATATACACTAGGAAAATCCTAGATGAATTAGTACCAATCGTGCACACGAAAATCACCCCCTACGAAAGCAAAAGACTCTGCAGGAGATGCAACATTCCCCTAATGAAAAGCAGGGGCGCCATGAGTACACTAAGAGACTACACAATAAGTGTCAGGGGCCCAAGACTGTTCAACTGCCTCCCAGCACGCATAAGGGGGATTGCAAATAGACACCTGGCTGTCTTCAAGAAGGCGCTGGATATGCACCTAAAGTCAGCAGCTAATCAGCCGTGCTGATTAGTTGCTGACGTGCTGCCAGCAGTAACAGCCTGGTTTATCAGACCCTGATCCACCACGAAGCCTGGTCTGAGACCGGGCCGGGGGGGATATTGACTCATGAAACCCTCTCCAGGTATACTCCAGGTATACTCCAGGTATACTCCAGGTATACTCCAGGTATACGTGGAGATTTCTATCAATTTGTTAGAAGGAATGTTCATACAACTTTGTCTTATACTTTGGATGCCTCATCATATACTGTACAGGAAAATGTTGAAATAATGAACAGTTTCCCACAGCGCTTGTAAAGAACACAGTTAACATATATTTTTGATTACGCTATTTTTCATCTAGAGGGAGCAAAAAATTACTTGAAATACAGATACTCATAAAACCATACATTTACTTTTTAGTTTCTAGAGTTTAGATGAAAACTTAATATATGAACTTACGTCAAAGACTCTCGTGAAAACTACGTCGAAAAGGGACTCAAAATGTTCAACTGTTGGTTGAGTGACACTACATCAGCGTACCAAGAGCCAGGAATGTGGGTTACTACACTGACGACACTCTACACCACACACTAACACCTTCATATAATCATGACTTGTTACCTGAATAAAGATTATTCATTATCGCTTGCTCAAGGCTTCTGTACAAGGAACAGCACTGATAATAACTGATCATTATCCTTGATAAAATGACGTAACCTGATTATACACAGAAAATTAATATTCAGATTTTAAGTAGAGGTTTATCCACTCGGAATTTATCTACTAGATGTTTATCTATTTCGGGTTTATCTACTAGGGCCCTACTTAAACAAGATGGGTCCTACACAGATGACAGCAAGGAAATGAGTGAGCTACTCAAGTCCCAATATGACTCAGTTTTTAGCAAGCCGCTAACAAGACTGAGAGTCGAAGATCAAAATGAATTTTTTATGAGAGAGCCACAAAATTTGGTTAACACAAGCCTATCTGATGTTATCCTGACGCCAAATGACTTCGAACAGGCGATAAATGACATGCCCATGCACTCTGCCCCAGGGTCAGACTCATGGAACTCTGTGTTCATCAAGAACTGCAAGAAGCCCCTATCACGAGCTTTTACCATCCTATGGAGAGGGAGCATAGACACGAGGGTCGTCCCACAGTTACTAAAAACAACAGACATAGCCCCACTCCACAAATAGGGCAGTAAAGCAATAGCAAAGAACTACAGACCGATAGCACTAACATCCCATGTCATAAAAATCTTTGAAAGGGTCCTAAGAAGCAAGATCGCCACCCATCTAGAAACCCATCAATTATACAACCCAGGGCAACATGGGTTTAGAACAGGTCGCTCCTGTCTGTCTCAACTATTGGATCACTACGACAAGGTCATAGATGCAATAGAAGACAAAAAGAATGTAGATGTAATATATACAGACTTTGCAAAAGCCTTCGACAAGTGTGACCATGGCGTAATAGTGCACAAATTGCGTGCTAAAAGAATAACAGGAAAAGTTGGTCGATGGATCTATAATTTCCTCACAAACAGAACACAAAGAGTAGTAGTCAACAGAGTAAAGTCCGAGGCAGCTCTGTTCCACAAGGCACAGTACTCCCTCCCATCTTGTTCCTCATCCTCATATCTGACATAGACAACGATGTCAGCCACAGCACCGTGTCTTCCTTTGCAGATGACACCCGAATCTGCATGACAGTGTCTTCCATTGCAGACACTGCAAGGCTCCAGGCGGACATCAACCAAATCTTTCAGTGGGCTGCAGAAAACAATATGAAGTTCAACGATGAGAAATTTCAATTACTCAGATATGGTAAACACGAGGAAATTAAATCTTCATCAGAGTATAAAACAAATTCTGGCCACAAAATAGAGCGAAACACCAACGTCAAAGACCTGGGAGTGATCGTGTCGGAGGATCTCACCTTCAAGGACCATAACATTGTATCAATCGCAGCTGCTAGAAAAATGACAGGATGGATAATGAGAACCTTCAAATCTAGGGATGCCAAGCCCATGATGGCACTCTTCAGGTCACTTGTTCTATCTAGGCTGGAATATTGCTGCACACTAACAGCACCTTTCAAGGCAGGTGAAATTGCTGACCTAGAAAATGTACAGAGAACCTTCACGGCACGCATAACAGAGATAAAACACCTCAATTACTGGGAGCACTTGAGGTTCCTGAACCTGTATTCCCTGGAACGCAGGCGGGAGAGATACATGATTATATACACCTGGAAAATCCTAGAGGGACTAGTACCGAACTTGCACACGAAAATCACTCACTACGATAGCAAAAGATTTGGCAGACGATGCAACATCCCCCAATGAAAAGCAGGGGTATCACTAGCACGTTAAGAGACCATACAATAAGTGTCAGGGGCCCGAGACTGTTCAACCGCTTCCCAGCATACATAAGGGGGATTACCAATAGACCCCTGGCAGTCTTCAAGCTGGCACTGGACAAGCACCTAAAGTCGGTACCTGACCAGCCGGGCTGTGGCTCGTACGTTGGTTTGCGTGCAGCCAGCAGTAACAGCCTGGTTGATCAGGCTCTGATCCACCAGGTGGCCTGGTCACAGACCGGGCCGCGGGGGCGTTGACCCCAGGAACTCTCTCCAGGTAAACTCAGGCAGGGATTTATCTAATAGATGTATGTGTACAAAGGGTTTATCTGCTAGAGATTTATCTATTGGTGTTTATCTACAAAGGGTTTATCTACTAGAGATTTATTTATCTGTTAGGGGTTTATTTACAAGGGAATAATCTCCTAGAGATTTATTTACCTGGGGTTTGTATACAAGGACTTTATCTACAAGCGGTTTACAAGAAATTTATCTGCTAGGGATTTATCTACAAGGGGTTTATCTACAAGGGGTTTATCTACAAGGGGTTTATCTACAATTGGCTTATCTACAAGGGGTTTATCTACTAAGGGCGGTCATGATAATTATGCGAGAAAATATGATTTTGGGTTTTGTTTACAGAAAAATAGTGTAAGTATCTGGCAACATTTTGGTGAAAACCCCATCGTAAACGATGTTTCTAAAGCAAATTATAGCTACTTGAAACATTTCAGGTGACGACCCACCAGGTAAATATATGAGTAAGTGCGAAGTGATTTTTTTATATATTTTTTGTTTGTTTTTAATTTTTTGTCTATTTTTCTTTCTAATACACTAAATTTACCACTTAATATCATTACAATGTGGGAGAAGCTTATATCGGAGGTGGGAGGAACTTGCATGATTTTGCAACAACCAGCTGCCGATGACAGCAGTCTGATCACCACTCACAAAATGTCATGTGAGTTGCCTACTCTAGCAAGCTCTGTTGACACCGAACTCTGAGGTGGGTACCTCAGCCTCACATGTGGCTTATAAAACAGATTTCCATAAATGACTGATGTTGCAAGAAAATCTCGCCTGCATGCACGAATAAAGGGCTAACTTACTTGATGTTGGAGAATATATTCTGGTCTTCAACCTTCCTAAGCTATTAGCCCCTCTGGACTTCCCCTCAGTACCACGTGAAACAGGGAACCTTAATTCCTGCAATGTTCAGTCGATATTAGTGACCTGCCTGCACCTCAAAAATTCCTGTTTCCCCTAGTATAACTATGCAGAAAGTGACACTAGCTTCTAAGGCTTGACCACGGGGAGACGCCGGCACATACCGCTCATGGGCCATCCAGCTGCACAAAGACCCACAGCTCAACTCACTCGCAAATTCCCCCAGAAACTGGCCAGAAAACTGAGTAGGAAAGGGAGGTCTTGTCTTACTGTAAGGGCCTGACAGAGGAGAACATCTACGGTACGTTAATACGTCGAGGTGCCTCCACCAGATTTCCCCAGCTCTAGTATGTGAAGACACGTAGGGGTGCCGCCTGCTGTTCATGGCACTTGTTGCTCCGATGGTGTCTGATCTTAGAAGAAAGCAAGGCGGTCTCAAAAGCCCATGCCCCAGTATTCAAATTTGGGCTGCCAGTTCTCCCTGGCTAATATAACCTAGTTTTTGCCTACATTATCGCCCTATTACTACCTATGTTAAGGTCTTAGGTCTAGATTTTAATTATCTACAGTTGCCTCAATAGTCCTAAATTTAGTTCACTAACAGTATAAACTACCTACCTCTTCCTTGAAGGGTAAATCTATCAATTAAATGTACCTTCCAACCACCATCACCAACCCAGGTGTGTGTGTGTGTTTTGGGTGGGTGTAAGGGCCACCCAACCCAGCCGTTCCATCCGCGACCTGATGGGATCTTTGTACGATGTATCTGCCCAGTGGAACTTTAGGACCGAATAAATTTCCACACTGGCCAGGGTTCAAGAGAGCATGTAGGCCAGAATGAATTAAAGGAGTTGGATATGTTGAATGCTGAAGACAAAGTAAAACAACTGAAGCTAAATCATGTTTATAAAATTGCTCAGAAACAGTGTCCACAATATCTTGCTGTCAATTTTGTCAAGGTTGGGAACCAAAGCAATCATAGTACTTGTGGAAAATATTTTAATTTTCCGATGCTATAGTGCCTAATAGGTGTTTAATGTGTTGATTTGGGTCAAAAATGTATTTGAAAGTGGAATAAAATCAACAGGGTTCCCTCTGCATCTGCACGGATGTGCGGGGAGACAGGTCGAGACAGGGCATCAGAGAGTGGGAGTGTTTTGAATTGAGTGAAGAGGCTGGGAAAGCATGGGAACAGGAAATTGGCATTCACGGCAGCCTAAGGATTAATATAGGCCTCACTTCATAATAGGAAGTGTCGTAACTGTTCCTGATGAAGAGTGAGGGAACATGATTTACTTACTTACTTGAGGTGGTGGCTGACCTTGATAAATTGATTACACTAGATCTTCACTATAAGCGAATCGTTTTCTATGTTATTTTTGGTAGCACTACAGAAAACGATGTACGATACACGAGAAACAATAGGAAATCACTTATATCTCATAAATAAGCCGAAAGTAGCTCGATTTTCGTGAATTTTGTTTAAATTTCTTGACGTAATTAGCTAGTCCGAGCGTTTACCCGAATATCTTGAGAGTGAGATTTTGGCCTATTGCTTGTCACTCCGCCATTATTAATGATTGGATTGAAATGATTTTCGCAGATAATATAAAACAAAGTGTGTTTGAATTTACAAAAGAATTTTTTTGGGAATATCTCAAACATTTTTGATTTTGTGGGAGGTAAAATGCAGATGTTTTGGTGAATGTCAAAAAAGCGCACCAAATGTAAATTTTTCACCATAATAATAACGTATATTAGACGAATTTTATCCATTACAAATTCGTTTTAGACATATTCTAACAGCTGGGATTGTCGGAAGTGTCACTCGAGTGTAAGTAAGTTTATTCAGGTATACACAAATACAGTTACATAGAATTATCATACATAGCAGCATATGTGTAGAGAACCTGGGATAACCCAAAAAAGTCAGACAGAGTGACTTATTTCCATTGGGGTCCTTTTACCTTATTATTATAATATGAAGGTTATAATATTTTCTTATTATTCTATAATGAAGATAACATCTTATTGTCATACTAAAAAGACTATCTACTACACGAGGGTCATTAAGACTATCTA